GAATCGCCATCCTGCTCAGAGAGTGGTAGAAGGCAGTTAGTTCCCCTGAATGCCTTTAAAGCTTTTGGTCTGAGCCAAGAGTGGCATGGGGTACAGTGGAGGAGCCTGGTGGCCTCAGCTTTTGTTGCTGCTGTTTTCAGGGTCAATGCTGAAATCCCAAGCCTAGAATTAGGCTGCCTCTGTGGGCTCCGGAGGCAGAGCCCTAAACGGCCCCCCTGGTCCAGTTTCTCCAGTGAAAAAGTCCTTTAATTTGGATTGGAGAGCAGGGCCCACACTTCCCACTGGGAACCGCAGGTCTTGGGGATTTAAAGGACGGGGCATGGGTGGAAGGGAAGGACTGGGAGAGGAGGCCCTTCTACTTCTTCCCCGCTACCTGCCCCTGACATTCTGCAGGCTCCAGGCTCTCCTGGGGTGGACACACATCGTTGGGCCTAGACCCTTGTCGTATTTATGGGCCAGACACTGGGGGCACCTTCTGGACAGCTTGTGCTGGACGTCACCTTCAGCTGTCTGGCCGTACCTTAGAGACTATTTATTCACCAGAAGCCCCAGGCACTTGAGGAGGTGTCACTTCGGTCACCTTGAAAAACCCCTGGGGGCTTGCAACCCTGGAAAATATTTTCAACTAGCTGCTTGAGCTGGATGTACAAAGGGATAGGCGTTATTTTATTGCTGTAATATTGTACGATACTGTAACTATACATTAATGTTGTCACTTATTGTAAATGTACTATGGTTTTATTAACAATAAACACTTGTTAACAATGACCTTGGCCTCATGGCTCCTGATTGATAGAGGGTTACCCAAAGTTCAGAGCTGGGGAGGAGCCCATTTAGGACCAGGAAGAGAACCCAGAGCTGATTCCCTGGTTACTTGGGGCACCCATGTCTCAGAGGGAAAGAACCCCTACTGGAAGCTGTGCTGTGGCCACCTGCCAACCCCTGTCCTACCCCACTTAGTACCTGAGCCTGGGTCCAGCCCTCGCTGGGCCTTAGTTTTCCTGTTCTGTCAAATGGGGTAGGTGTGTTCCCATTCGTTAAGCACTTAGGTGCCACTGAGCTGGACTGGAAGGACGGGAACACAATGCCAGGAATAAGACAGCTGTCAGATTTTTCACAGAACTGGAACAAATAATCCTAAAATTTGTATGGAATCACAAAAGACCCAGAATTGCCAAAGCAATCCTGAGGAAAAAGAAAGTAGGAGGCCTAACCCTCCCAGACTTCAGACAATACTACAAAGCTACAGTAATTAAAACACGGTGTTGGCACAGAAACAGACATATGGATCAGTGGAACAGAACAGACAGCCCAGAAATAAACCCACTCACCTATGGTCAATTAATCTTCAACAAAGGAGGCAAGAATGTACAGTGGAAAAAAGACAATCTCTTCAGCAAGTGGTGTTGGGAAAGCTGGACAGCCGCATGCAAATCAATGAAGTTAGAACACACCTTCACACCATACCCAAAAATAAACTCAAAATGGCTTAAAGACTTACTTAAATATAAGACATGACACTATACAACTCCTAAAAGAGAACATGGGCAAAACATTCTCTGACATAAATCATACCAATGTTTTCTTAGGTCAGTCTCCCAAGGCAAGAGAAATAAAAGCAAAAATAAACAAATGGGACCTAATCAAACTTAATAAGCTTTTGCAAAGCAAAGGGAACCATCGATGAAACAAACAACCTACGGACTGGGAGAAAATATTCACAAATGATGTGACCAACAAGGGCTTAATTTCCAAAGTATACAAACAGCTCATACAGCTCAATATCAAAAAACAAACAACCCAATCGAAAAATGGGCAGAAGACATAGACATTTTTCCAAAGACATACAAACGGCCAATAGGCATATGAAAAGATGCTAATTATTAGAGAAATGCAAATCAAAACTACAATGAGGTACCACCACACCCCGTCAGAATGGCCATCATCAAAAAGTCTACAAACAATAAATGCTGCAGAGGGTGTGGAGAAAAGGGAACCCTCCTACACTGTTGGTGGGAATGTAAATTGGTACAGTCACTATGGAGAACAGTATGGAGGTTCCTCAAAAACTAAAAATAGAGTTGCCATATGACCCAGCAATCCCATTCCTGGGTATATATCCAAAAAAATCTATAATTCAAAAAGATACATGCACCCCTATGTTCACAGCAGCACTATTTACAATAGCCAAGACATGGAAACAACCTAAATGTCCATGGACAGATGGATAAAGAACATGTGGAACATACATACAATGGAATATTACTCAGCCATGAAAAAGAACTCAGCAACACGGAGGGACCTAGAGATTATCGTACTAAGTAAAGCCAGACACAGAAGGACAAATACCATATGATATCACTTATATGTGGAATCTAAAATACGACACAAATGAGCGTATCTATGAAACAGAAACAGACTCAGAGCACAGATCTGTGGCTGCCATGGGGGAGGGCAGTGGGGGAGGGGTAAACTAGGAGTTTGGGATTAGCAGACGCAAAGCATTATATACAGAAGGCATCAACAACTAGGTCCTGCTGTACAGCACAGGAACTAGATTCAATATCCTATGATAAACCATAATGGAAAATACAAAAAAGTATATATATATATATATATATATATATATATA